GAAAGGTATCATGTTTTAGCTCGGTTTAGTAGCCTTATATGCCATCTTGAGCATGGTGAAGATGGTTTAGATCCAAAAGAAACCGTTTAGTTGTTATAGGCGCTTTAAATTTCTTGCACAACACGTTCTCGGGTCAGTTCACCGGATGAGCGCGGTCACCACACCCCGGAGGCGCGACGTTGCCACGCTGGCTCGCTCTGCACGCGCACGCGTGCTGCCGCGCGTGACCGGTGCGACTGCCTTGTCCTGGCCGCCACTGGCCCTACCGCGTGGAGCAGCTACTGCTCACACGGCCGAGCGATGCTGCCGCACTGCCGACCCGCCTCATGCCGCGACGTAGCCGCTGCCACTGTTGTCGCATCGTCGTTGTGTCTACGCCTGTCCGTTGTACCCTTACCCTGCTGCTGACCAAGTTAGATGTCGCGCGCATGTGGTCAAGCTCACCGTCGCCATGCCATTTATGGCACTGCGGTCGCGCGGGCCATGCCGGTTGTGGATGCGCGCGCTTGTCCGTAGCGTCTGTGTGCGTGCCTCCACGATCACGCCGACCGCGTCCCACCAAGGCAAGCTCGAGCTGAGCCCACCTGTCCTGCCCTGTCTCTCTCTATCTCTATTGCCGTTGTCAGAGCCACGCCAGCATGTTAGACAGCAAGACGTCATCTCCAATCAACTCCGACAGTCTACAGCCCTGCCAGTAAATTCTCCATCTGCACCTAGCCATGAAGAAGGCACTGCCAAGCTCCAATTTGGCGCTTTTCTCGCCACCGTGCCGATAAGGCCACGTCCGGTCATGGACGAGGGCAGCCCCCGTACTGTCCACCCTGATCCAATTCACCTGCACTACTAGCTTTGCCCTGCCTCCCTCTCCACCTTGCGCACATCAGCGGAACTGCTACCGTCTCCCCGTCTCCGCTGACGCGACTATGCCACCGCGGTACGCTGCCGCATGGCTCGGCCGCACGTGGCCACCCCTTCTCCACCATCCTCGACTCCAACCGTCACCTCTTCCTGGACCATGGTAGCTTTCTGATGCTCACGTGCAAGCCAGTTAGGTTCGTAGCAGCCCCAGCTCACTAGAGTTGCTGCTCGGCGTAGGTGGTTGGACCGTAGTTGAAGGTCAGCCCGACTGATGGGCCGGCGTGAGCCCCAGGTGGCCGGTGCAGCCATGTTGTGCCACCACCCGCTGTGCTGCCGTGCGTTGAGTCGCTGGGGTGCGCGCGGGTGAATTAGGGAAAGGTCGGGAGGTTAAGTGAGAAGGCCTGTGAGAGGGGGAAATAGTGTTAGTACTTAGTTGTGATTTGAAAGATGTTCAAGGCCTCTTTTGCATAAACACCAGCGTGCGTGGGATTCCCCCACCTCGGGCCGTCTCGCACTGCAGGCTGGCCTCGCATGGGCTGCATCCGCGGGCCACCGTGCGCTCGCAAGCGCGCAAGCTGCGTCGCGTGGGCCATGCGGGAGATTTCATTTTTTCTTTTCCTAAGGAATTAGAAATAGTTTTCTAATTTAATTTTTGGGTTGATCTTTGGTAAATCATATAAAATCATGTAGGTGTCCAAAAATTGTGAAACAAATTTTGTTAGATTCCTAAAATTGTGCTCTATCTGTTAGTGTATTTAGTTCATGTTTATATGTGTTGACACTAGGAGCTATTAAATAGTACGAGAATGCTTAATATTATTAAGTTGATTATTGTAGGAATTTTTGTGGTGAATTGGTGATAGCTTTAGTCCTAAAATTTTTATAGTAGTTTCATTGTAATATTATGTGCTCACTGTAATTTTGGTAGCCTTAGAATAGACTAAGCATTAGGGTAGTTTAATGCTCTTTATTTCAAAATACATTAAATCACTAGTAGAAATAAAGATATATCCTTAATTTGCCAAGCTAAGGGTTTGTTAGTTGAACCCAAGATCTTGCTTGATAAAAATGATAGTTAGTTTAGTATCTTAGTCATTAGAGCTAGCTTAGTAGCTTAGTATGCGTATTCTTATTTTAAGAGTTGATGTTGCCTAAATGCTAAGTGTTGCATCATTATCGCATGCATGTAGAGAACGAGTTGGTAGAGATAGTGACTACAAATGATCATGAGTTCGAGGAGATTGTCGAGGAGTACGAGGAGATTCTTGTGCAGGAGGAGGTCCCGGAGCCACCATCGACTGACTCGGCTGACACCGCGCCTACCCATGGCAAGTCTAGGTGCATAATCCTTATTTTTATAATCACTATATGTATATATGTGATATGCATTTATGTTACGGAAATTTTATGAAAACCACATGCATAGATATATCTGTCCTATAAGTCTTACTAGTGCAAGTTCGAGTAGCTGCTATGCTTAGGTTTTCGGTAGCGTGAGTAACCTGTCGTTACTCATAATAAGTGATTATTATAATTACTCTCATGATAAGAATGATGAAAGGAAAATGGAGATCGGGCAGGGATATGGTATGTGTATTGGTGGCTGTAATGAGTTGTCTCCCGCGGCCACGAGTCTTCGCTTGGTTATACTATTTTTCCATGTCCATGTCGATTGAGGACCGTCCGTTGCTGTGGATGGTAGTCAGGTCACAGACTTATTATCATAAGCACATACTTACTTATGGGAGCGGGAAGGCTCGTTACGCTCTTGTCGTGGGTTCTGGCTCTTTCTGGGTCAACTGATTGGAAGCGGGGAAAGGTGGAGGTCTAAGCACTATATTGAGATCGGGTCTCAAGTATGGGGGCTTGGAGTCCAAGTTTGGACGAGGACCTAGACCCCGTGATAGGAGTGAAATGTGTTGGTCTTGTTTGTGTCTAGGGTACAAATGGGGCATGTGTTTCGGGGTACCCAGCTGGGATATATTGGTTCGTGAATTATCATTTTCGTGAGACGGTACGACTTGGCTATGGTCTAGCACCGTAGTAAGAACTGGAATATGAAATATGGTAAATTGGTTCTGATTGTTCAACCCTTGCTTGAAAGTAGAACATGTGCTTACCTAGAATGGTTAGCTAATGAAGTAATCATGACTGCAAATTAAACTTGATCTTAAGGACGTACTTCTAGTAATACTTTTCGCAAATAAAAAGAAAACAGTAAACCCATATTGCCAATCATACCCCTTGGAGTCAAAAAACTATTTCCACTAGTCAGGTAAGTCTTGCGACTACATTTTGTACTCAGGGTTTATTTTACCCTGTTGCAGGTGCAGCTAGAGAAGTAGCTCTTGTGTGGAGGATTCTTCTAGTGGGCACAGACGGATCCTTGTATCGTTTCTGCTAGATGTTTATTTTCATTCCGCTGTTTAATTATCGCACTCTGAACCCTGGTATTGTAATAAATAATTTTCAAGAACTCTTGTCGTATGAAATTGACTAAGTATTGTAAGCTCGTACTCATTATTTGATTCTGGAGGTAAAACATGGATTGATTCGAGTTCTCCCTTAGGGTATGCTCGACGGAACTATCCGATGTAGCTAACCTTCGGGGTGCTTAGTGTCTATTGGAAGACGAGCGCCTCCGAAAACGTGTTATTTTGGGCGGTTCTGCCACATAGCGGGATTTGGGAGAGCGCGGTGGAGAGGGACAAAAGGTAGCGCTGCCTGCATTTTGGATCTGGGAGAATAAAATGGTCTAGGGTTCCTCACTGTATATGTGGGTCAGGCTAAAATTTTGCACGCGAACTCAATGTAAGCGGGCGCGCCAGCTCAATGTAAACCGGGTGTGCGAGCTAGGTGGGGGCCACGGTACACCTCTTTTTAGCGACAGATAGTTCAACGTTAAATATGATTACCTGTAACGATAGACAATGAATTGTTAAATGAGGAATTAGCGACAGATCGTTTGTGAGTTATCTTTAACGGCAGATCATCTATCGATGAATATAATTTTTAGCGTCAGATGTCTGACGGTGATGCGATGTTGTGGTGTAGTGGATAGACAATAGGGTGGTGTCGGGATAGGATAGACCTGGAGAAAAGAGTGATATTATGACGAGGAAAGACGTGGCCTGATGGAACCGAGTTCCAAAGACAAGCGATTTCAATATATACTATCTGAAGTAAATCCCAATAGGATGACTAGGATGGCTTCTGTGCAGTATAATATACTCCCTCTGTCCTTGAATAAATAGATTCCTATAGACTTGTCTTAAGTCGACCTTTCAAACTTTGACTGAATTTCTAGAAAAAAACCCATAAATATCTATGACATCAAATTAGTATCGTTAGATATACCACAGAATATGTTTTTATAATATGCTCATTTTATGTCACAGATGTTGTTACTCTTTTCTATAAAGTTAGTCAAATTTAAGATGGTTTGATTTGCACGGATTCTAGGAATTGATTTATTTAGGGACGGAGGGAGTAATTAACTAATTAATTTTTCATGTAATGTAACAAAAATGGTAATTTAGAATTAGGGTTAAGCAGTAGTAGATCAATACAGAAATAGAGACAAAAAATGATTTCTTGTGCAAGAAGCTAGGTCGCCATGAAACTAACCAAGGCCACGTTTAGTTGCTCCAAATTCCAGAATTTGGCACTATGCAAAAAGAAGATTCCCCGTCACATCAAACTTACGGTACATGCATGAGTACTAAATGTTGACAAAATCAAAAACTAATTGCACAGTTTGGTTGTACTTTGCGAGACGAACGTTTTGAGTCTAATTAGTCAACGATTGGACAATTATTATCAAATAAAAACAAAACGCAACAGTGTAGCTACAATGTCCGGTTTTCCGGCGGCGCCGAATCCGGCGTGAACTAAACATGGCGCAAGGGAGCAGGGATAAGAAAGGATACAAGAGAAAGAAATAGAGGTTCGATGAAGAATTATTTCGAGAAAAAAAAAACTATCAATTGGAAATATGGTTTCTATGTTTTAGTGTGTCTATTATTGCACACGCTTTGTCTATTTTACGTGCAAATTGACCATGTGACACTTAAAAGCCATTATTGGAAATAATAAATATTAATTTAACACGGTTTAGCATTGTGGGGAAACGACAAATTCGTCTATCCTGTAGCACTTAACAACGTCCACGGACCACGGCAAAATGACGGTAGTATAAGCATGGCAGGTTTCAGAGCTGAACATGTGAATGAAGAGGTGAAATGTCATCGTCTGAAGAATGGACAGTACGGGTGTCATCAGTTGCAGAGCTCACCTGAAACCTGAAGGAGAGAAGACGCCGACCCAGTCGTCGTTGGAGGGGTTCGGATGCGAGAACTCGACGACCACCCAGTCACTGCTCTGACCCTGGAACACCACCAAGTGACCATGTCCCAAGCCGAGAGACGCACGATCAGTAGCAAGCACGTTTTCAGTTCGAGGAAATGGGAGTGAGCAAGAGATAAGTGGTACTGAAGAAGAGAAGGTGAGGGAAGCAGGAGCACCTTGAGGCCAAGAACCGTGGGGTGAGCATTGATGCTGGCCGAATCGACGAGAGCGGCCGTCGCCCTCTCGATGGCGATCCTCGACAGCGGCTGGTGGCCGGCGTGCAGCACGTCGGCGCAGCCCAGGATGTGTGCAAGAACCGCCCATAGCGCCACCAGGAGCCTCATTGCGTTTGCTATTTGCTATTGCTGGTGCACAAGTCGAGTCGGATCAATGAGGGGAACTGAAGATGAACAAAACAGGCTTCGTCTCGTATATATGTATGTACCTCTGGTGAAGGAAGCATTGGAAGCCGCCAGCTCTGACCGGCATCTCAGCCAGCCAGTAGGCCAACAAGTGGCTCCAAGACAAGGATGGTTCCATGAACCGGTTGGCCGCGAAACGAAAACCAAGAAACTCAAGAACATGGTTTTCGAAACCAAGACAAGAAGAGGAATGGAGCTGATCGAGTACAAAATGAGCAAACACACGACAAAAATGAAGACATGTGAAAAATGCAACAGAGCAAACAACAAAAAGTTAACCCGCCCACCGTGGGGCTCGAACCCACGACCACAAGGTTAAGAGCCTTGCGCTCTACCGACTGAGCTAGACGGGCTTGCTTGCTACTGCCGCTAGTATAAATCTATTTTACTTTTCTTGTATAGGACAAACAGGGACAAATATACAAATTATGTGAGAAGATGAAAAATGAAACCCAGTAAAAGAACAAAGCAGAAAAAAACGTTGTTTAAAGTTTCAGCAATCCATACAACCGGTACCAGAATTTCCAGCCTCTACAAGCACAAGAGCGCACAGATAAGCTCTTCTAGTGCAATAAGCAACTAAGGCTCAGATCATCCCAATAGGGTGTACAAAATTTTACACAGAATTATACACAAGCACAATCCAATCAGGCATAAGATACCAAGACCGTATGTACAAACGGCCAGGCGGTGATTCCCTAGTAGCCCGGAAGGAAGCCTCTGGCAGCTGAGAACGTGAGAGAAAGCTATAGGGTGAGCTACACACAACTAGAAGCACTAGCGTTAGAACTGTCCTACAAAAGCCTAGATGCTATCTCCTGGAGCAAAGTCCTCTTCTGCGAGGCTGAGATAATGCCACTGTTCTCGGCTTTTTCCAAGATGTCGGCCATTACCGAAGCGGCATGACCGAGTGGTTCTTCGGAGACTCTCTTAAGCATGAAGGCCTGCACAAGAGAGGCATCGTTGTAGGCCAGGGAAGACAGGAAAAACGCGGATGCAGTTAAATGTTTATAAACTAAAGGGAGAGAGGTGAACCTGGCTATGATGAGAAACCTCTATGGTGCCCGGCTCCTGGGACCATGGCTCTCCATCAACTTGAATTGGCATTGTAGTACTGATTTCAACCTTTATATGATGACCTTGGGCTAATCTTTTTGCACGAGAAAGCCCAATCTAGAGCAAGTTTAGCCATTATCCATTAATCAGTGGTTAATTATTTTATTATATCAGGTAACCAACACCATAGAGCCTAGAATGAGGAAGATTACTTCTTCCATACCTGCAGTCTTCCGAGATGCAGCATTCCTGTGAAGCTAACAACTTCCAGTTTCTTGTCATGCATGGACTGAGGGAGGTAAGTGTCAGAGACATCATCCTCGTTCTTCCAAAGGTCAACCCCTCCCATGTAGCTCCTGATATTGGCGACAAGGATACCTTCAGAGTCCTGCAAATCAAAGGAATAAAAAGTAAGGCCACATAGTTTTACTAGAAGATGCTTCTCCAATATGTTCAAAGGACATAAGAAGCCTGCAAAAGTTCCTTGAAGTGTAGTAACTATATTTCGTCATTATTGTGCATAACTGGGTTTCTTATGAATTCTTTCTTGCAGATATGCCAGTCAAAATAATTTGTTTACGCCAAAACGTAAAAAGAGCAGAGAAGAATAGTCGCAATGCAATGCACTTGCCTGAGGAATATCAATTTTGGATCCATCTATCTCGAGCTTGACATCCCAAGGAAAACAATCAAATGTGTTATCCATAATGTTCTTTGCTCCCTCTCTTGCATACAGCACCTTGTTCATAAACTACAAAAATAGTTGTATCCTATTCAGGGATAGGAAAAAACTGTGTAACTAATACATAGAATGGTGCATGTGCAGAATAAACAGCGTGAAAAATTGTCAAGCATGGGAATATGATTACCATATGAAAGTTCAACTGTAGCAATTAGTAATGCAAACATGACTACATGAGTCTTCAAAAAGTTAGCAAAGAAAATAGATTATCAAGATTTGAGTAAAACCCATTTTCAGATTGCCAAAGCAGTGTATAAGATAGACCTATTCAACAATTTCAAACCAGCACTACTACATATTTTCAGATATATGTGCTACCAAACAGTAGTTAAAGCAATAGGAATATTTAATATTTCCAGCACTACTAGCGAGTTTAAAAACCTATACTTGTACATTTGATGTAATAATATCTATTATACTTTATACAGATATAATAATCAACAAACAATATGTACAGAAGTTAAAGCCCTCAAGCTTGTACATATTGCCTTATGCTACTCTGAACACTAAATTTTCATAGCATAATTCGTCCAAGAGAAACTGGGAAAATAAAGAACAATAGAGCATTGTCATCCTTGCAAAGGTGCAACACAACTCCACCAACAAGTGCAAAGGAGTCAGGAAACATAGCAGGGAGTCAGGGTGCAAGTAAGCAGGTGTTACCTGGCTATAAAACCGTTCAGGGTTCTCTTCCCTCAGATTGTGTATATCTAAGGCAACCTTTGCATCACAGCCAACCCCTGAAAAAGCAAGGGTATTATGGTTATCTGACTATGCAGGAATCTACTAAAGAATCTTAGCAAAGAAATAGTTGCATGGACATACCAAAGTAGTTGTTCATAAATTTTGGTGGTGCCATAAGTTTCCCTTGGTTGTCCTTTATGGTGATCTTCCATCTGTCAAGAACAGTGACTGCTGCATGCTCTACATCTTGCAAAACTGAGAATAGACCTCCCCGCTTCTCAATAACACCAAGGCCACCACCCCAACATAAAACCCTCGCAAGATCATTACCAGTACCAGCTGGAAGGATGGCTACAGGAGGTGGAGTTTCAAACTTCTGTTTCTCAATGGCATCCAAAACCCATCCAGCAGTACCATCTCCACCACATACAAGAACTCTGAAATGGGTTACCTTCCGAAATAAAGCTAAACCAACATCTGGACCTTGCTGTTTGCTCAACTCGAAAACCTAACGGAAATGAGTTAGTACCATAATAGAAAGTTGCTTCTAGTTATATCATCAATAACCACCAGAACCAATAAAATGAATCAGTTTAAAAAGACAAGGTGGAGGATTAACTGAACTTAACTAAGCAACTTGAGCAAAACTTTACCGATACAAAAGGTTGTGCACAGAATAAAGTTTTGGATAAATCGAGTGTAAGAGGATTTATTAAAGTGCAGTCAGCCCTAAAGATATATAAGCCACACGATAACATTACTTGATTTGTGCTAAAAAACAAATATATATATATATATATATATATATATATATATATATATATATATATATATATATATATATAAAATAAAAAGGGGTGCTAGATGTGTCAAAAAAACAGAGAAAATCTACAAGGAAACTTACACAACTGAAAACTGGTTAAAGAGCTTGAAGCATACCAACCTGCACAGGATTAAGAAGAATCTGCAGGCGCTGTCTCAGTGAATCACCACTCTGTGCACCACTTCTCTTGTTAATGAAAACTAGAAGCGGCCTAGAATCAGAAGGCACGTTGATAATTTCATACTTCTGATTGTTCTGTACATGAGAATTCTCACGTTGTACATTTGATCTATTAGTTGTAGCTGCGTTATCTGGTACATGTTGCTTATCTTTCTCTGATTCAGAGCTTTGCTGTACCTCATTGAGTTTGCCATTGGCCTGATCATCCCTCCTCTTTGCTGCGCTGTTTACTTCTTGTGAATCTCCTTCAACATCAGATGGTAGCTCAATAGCCCCAGAGCTATCTGAATCAGCAGAAGCACTACTCCTTTTGTACCTTTTACTACGAATCAGAATTGTCTCTCGGACAGTAGAAGCCAATTCATTAGCCCCATTTGTGATAGAACTCAAAATCCCAGCACCTGTCCAATGAAGCTCCTTAACACAAAGAGGTGATAATATCAACCGCTTCAGTGGTCCCAAGTCACAGATATCACCAGTTTCCTTGGCCAAGCTGCTGTGACAATCAACATGCACCAGCCTCTGACACCACATACAGTACCAAACCGGAGACCCCGCAAGGAAAGCCCCATTGCAAGATTCATCACAGTAGCAACAGAAAGAGTCTTCTTCAGAGTGATCCGCACTGTCGATCCATTGCACAGCCCACTGGTGAAGCACATGGTCCAAACCAGCCATAGATACACACTTGCAATCCTTGTGCGCATTCCCCGAGCAACTCGGATGCGCGGCGGCGCCGCAGATATCGCACTGATGGATGGTCCCCCCAGAGTACTGAGGAGGTGAAACGGACTTCAAGCACACGCAGCATTTCAGGCCTTTACCGCGGGGGACAACTTCTTTCCTCCAGATGTGGGACGCAGCGGGCACCTTGTCCTTCCATTTCTTGTACCTCTTGGCCCTGGCCTTGATAGCCTTTATCAGGCTCAAGCTGATTTTCTTGTTCAACTGATTGACTGTGTAGTAAATTGTCACCGCACCAACAAATGCGAAAACAACAGTGGCGATTATCACAGACCAATACTCCGAGACGTACGCCGAGACGCCGACCCAGCTAGGATGCAGCATCTTGTGTGTCCCTGCACCAACCATCAGGTAAGGAGACAATTCACTGAAACAAATTCAGTGTGGTGGTGGGGAGACCGATGGTTCTACAATACTAATAAGCAAAAAAATTGTGTGCCTATCATCTAGACTCTAGTTATGATTCTATAGTGCTGTATTGCTGTTAACTTTTCATTCCAAAGGGTTGGGACTTGGGAGTTCTGAACCTGTAAGCGCCCATTCAGCGGCTTGCCAATAAAACAAAAGAAGGTCACAAATCCCACACCTAATACAACTTATTGAATCCACACAAAATGACCGAACGAAGGCCTCAGCGAGATACAGCCTCGAATGAACCAGCAAGTTGCGCACGAAATAATCCTCCTCGAAACCCTAATCGCTAATCTCACCGTGGCAATCGCAATGAACAGCCGGAAAGCAGGCAGAACTTGCTGTTTGTTGCATAAAACAGAGCGGGGAGAGGGATCTTACGAGATCAGGACACCCGGGGGAGAGGATGCGGCTCCGGAATCGGGGATCAGAACCAACCCGCTCGTGCTCACATTGCGATCCTCGAACGGCCCGCTCGCTCGCCGGCGCTGCTGCGCTTTCCCCCTTCAGCCCTTCCCCTCCCTCCGCTCTCCGATTCGCTGCCGCAGGAAAGGCAAAAGCCGCGGAGCCTGCGGTAACAATAATAATTGATAAAAAAATAAAAATAATATATTATACTAAATTAATGGGGGATTAGCGAGGTAATTGCGCCGGATGTGCGGGCTCGAATGTCTCGGGCCACGTCACGAGGGCGCGATCATGGCCGTTGAGGGAGGAACGGACGGAGGAGATTTGGAGGTCACACGTGGGGAGGGGAGCAGGTTTGATTCAGGCTGTCTCGGGGGCCCACCTGCAGTGTGATGGGACGCCGAGTCGAGACGCTTCTCGATGGCGTGCTTGACGCGCCGATGCTCGGGCTCAAAATTAAAATCAAACAAATTTTAATAATAATAATAAGTTATCTTCTAGAACATGGAATTGCTCTGAATTGATTTCATTACTAGAACATATTTTATTTCACGTGCTTGGCCGGACCCAAAATCTCTAGAGCCCACCAGAATTATTTTTATAAATTCATTCTTTGACAACAATAAGTTCGTCAATAAAAAGATTCAGAAAAATATGCTCCACTCGCTAAATGAACATGCAGGATTTAAATTTCACCATTTCAAATGACAAATTTTTTTTCTTCCCGGCAATTTAGTTGGATGGATTTTTCTATTATGCATAGTTGATCTTAAAAATTTACTCACTCCATCTAAAAAAAAATACAACTATAAGAGTTATGCAAGTCAAACTAGCTTAAGTTTGATTATTTTTTTAGTGAATAGTATTAGTATTTATATCTCCAACTAGGTTTACTAAAAATATATTTTATAATTAATTTAATAATACTTATATAGTATTAAATGTTAATATCTTTTTTACTCTCTCTGTCCCATAAAAAAGTCATTCTCGCTTCCTAAAAAGTCAACTATCTTTAATTTTGACCATATATATATATATATATATATATATATATATATATATATATATATATATATATATATATATATATATATAATAACAAAATATTAATACTTATGGTACATAATTAGTATCATTGATAGATCTTTGAATTTATTTTTATAATAAACTTTTCTGGAGATATTCTATAAATCTAGTTAAACTTAGAAAAATTTTACCAGCACGAGTCCATGGTTCCTAATGCAAATATACAAGAAAGAAAGGAAATATAAAAGTGGTTATGATGATTAGAATTAATCCTGGATTGTGATGTAAAATTGTCTTCTATATTTTAGGACCGAGATACTCGAAACTGTTAGAGGAACCCAATAAATATGCTTTAGCTTTTTTTAGCCACTTGGAAAACTTGTTGATTTACAAGTGTTTTTTTTTGAACAATTGAGATGCTCTAACTCCTTTCTCTTCCCTTAGATTACTACTATATATATATATATATATATATATATATATATATATATATATATATATATATATATATATATCTCTCTCTCTCTTCATCCAGGATCGAAGAGCACAGTCTCCTCCAAGTCTCCGAACATATTATCCTTAACGTGTGACCATGTTTCCATGCTGCACCTGAATCCATAATTTGTCTCACGTTCGTGACACCACGTACTTGAACATGACAATAATAAAGTGTGTTTGTTTGAAGAATAAGGTGATACATCTTCTTCTCATTTCTCACTTTTTTGTTTGATTCGTGGAATGAAATAAGTTGATTTATCACTACCATATTCCTCACAAGCTAATAATTAATATATGCATGAGGAATAGGTTGAGTCTACTAAAATTCATGGGATAAACTCATCGATACACTATCTTATGAAGTTTGCTGTGATTTCATAAACCAAACACACCAATATTTTCCAGGAGCTGCCGGATGGGGCAGACAATCCATCGTAATTTCAAAAGCCCGGACATAATTTTGTTGACGCTCAAATTAGGCCCAGACTGGTTTTAGAATCAACCCATGTTTGTTTTGGCCTAATCGAAGAAAAAACTCTACGAAACAACATCAAATTACTAAATTGGTTTTCCAACGAGATAAGACAATCCCTACTCATTATAAAATATGGGTACACGACCGATTAAGGTATATATCCAACTACACAATCAATCTTTTATCAAGTTACCCATATTTTACCCCTTATCTCTTTCAACCCTTGTTATCCTACAAATTATCACATCTTCTAAAAAACCTACATGAAGAATGAACGTAGAAGATACCCCATGTAACAAGCAATATATCAAAACATAGGGAAAAGTCCAAAAAAATAAAAGATAGCAATTTTGTTCTATCGATTCATAGACCACAATACTAAATTGATGTTGATAATTTTAAGTCAACAAGATCAATAGTGACATCAAGTATTATGTCTGTGGCCATCACATAGCAAAGTACATGGTTTTTTTCTGGACTTTAGATGAAACTAATGATTGAGAAAATAGTACCCATCTCCAAACCAAAATATACAATTGGACAATTAAATATTAATACATATAGCTAATTTTAATAACAAGAAATAAATTATTTGGCAATGAAGGCATATGTGTTATTTGCCAAAGACTATTTCTCCCACATGCATCCCTTCTTTTCTTGGTGTTCCTCATCACTCACTGGTTCTGAGAAGTAGGCAATAAAGCAATAGTTAGGATAATATTGAAATATAAAATGCTTCACACATCTTTTTAGTTAATTGAAAAGAATCCAGGATAGGGCATGGGAGAGGTGTAGTACTCCATGCTTCACTTGCACAACACTGCTCAACAGTCTGCATAGGTTAAGTGCAAGTGGTAGCTAAAATAGTACACATCAAAAGAGCGGAACCTATGGCAGGAAAAAGAATTCAAATAGGACAAGTGTATTCTAACCGTAGGAAACTACTGTACTAGTTTGTAATCAACACCGAATTTTGTTGTTTTAGTGAACTTTTGACAACAAACACCATATCTCATTTAATAAAAACGACACTAGCTAGATGGATTGCATCTTTGACAACAAACACCATATCTCAGTGAACCATTGAATCTTTGACAACAAACCCTAACAAATCATATATCGACATCCAAAGGCAAGTGTGTGATAACATATGAGGGGTCAAGAAAAACGACACTAGCTAGATCGATTGCATCAGCTGCTAGCCAACCATCTACAAAGCTAGCAACAACATACATAAGCAGCAGGTGGCTAGTCAAGAAAATTGGAACTTTGTATAAGTAGAACACTACATCTGGTCACGTTCTAACACTACAATAGGTCATCTTCTAACTATGAGTCTTAGCTCCTTTCAATAAAACAGTCTTAGCATCAAATTAGTCTCATTGTACAGGTTCAGTTAAGATGTCTAATGCTATAAGAGGAGAAAACAAAGATGACAAAACAAACATATCTACTGCTACAAGAAGAGAGAAAACTAAGGCGACAAGCAAACACACCTGTGAATTTTTTTTCTTTAGCCAAATTAGTCGAACATTTGGATTCTTTGTCTTCATAAATATTTGTAGATTCGTCTTAGATTGGAAGAGCTCATTAGCATCTTCCTTCTGCTCATCAGTTAGGTCTTCCATGCCATCCACAACATCAATGCACTTCTCCACACAATAATCATCTTCTTGTTTTTTCTTCTCATCTATCATGATCTTTCTAAACTCTATGAATTCACTTATTTTAGCAGCCATTTGACTTTGCTTCCGTATTTTTTCACTAGCACCTTCTTGGTCCTATAGATTGAGATTGGATGGTGCATATTGCACTCCCGAGCCCTTGATTTGAGGAAATGGATTTGTACCATTAACAGCAAAATTAATGCTAATGGTATCAGAGGCAGCAATTGTGTTCTGCATACTTTGTTCAGTGTGCCTTCTTTTCGCTGGAGGTCCTGTTGTCTTGTTAGGAGGACGTTCAGTCGATGTAAAATTCAAATCTGTAGTGGTGATATTTCCTATTAAAAAACAACATATAAATTAGATGCTAGACTAAAGGCAAAATTACCTCACAACTCTAACACTCTTGCTTCTAAAGAATAAGTTAATTTATGATGTTAATCTATATTGACCAGCTACTGCTAAGAGTTATGATCATAAAACACTATCCAAACTCCAATGCATAATCTATCAATCCCGACTAGCGGCCATATGAGTCATGACAACAGAATATAAAATTGCCAAACAAACAGGACAAGCACGCAACTCATATTCTAGTGCCAAATAGGACCAAGGGCCGAGGACCAGAACCAAGACAAGAATTTTTTAGCATCAAATCAGATCAAAAGAGAAACATTTGCTGCATTATGTGATCATTACCTGCATACAATGATGCCAAGTTTTCATATAGAGGAAATGACTTCTTTTGGAACTTACTAATACTTTCGCATTCCCCTATTAAATGCAACAAAACAACATTTTGGTTAGCTTTTTAAAAGAGTGAAGACGTAACACAAACATAGCTAGCTTTATAAAGAGTGAAAAATGACTAACCTCAATCATTTCATCCCAAATCTTTGGTTTGGCAATAATCATGCATAATGACTCATTCCAACTAGCATCACTATTTTTCCTAGCATCTCGTATTATCTTGTAGTTCTCTTTCAACTCCTTTTCCTTTGATTGCATTTGTTGTTTTGTAAAATGAGCCAAAGGAAACTTTTCATTGAACTGTTTGGTGATATTTCTCCAATCCTCTCTTGTCCAACCATTTTGTTTCTTATACATAGGGATATTGGCATGTTCTTTCATTATGTCCACATGTCCTTTCTCATATGTATAGCTCCATATAGCCCTTGTACTCTAGGATGTTGACATGGCTGAAAATAATGAGACATAAATGTAACAAGTTAAAATGCTGATAATGATGAACAATGCTTTAAATTACCATCTAACTATTATAGGCGGCCCACATTGCTTGCACTATTTGATCTCGTAGTGTGTTGCTATCATTCCATTACATCTCATTTGGGTAATTGTTACCTCCTCTAGCAAATCGACAAAAGTGGTTGGGTCAGTATGTTTGTGGTTGGTGGTCTAACCAACTATCTTGTGAAAGGTCCTAATGGCTAGAGGGGGGTGAATAGCCTATAAAAACTTATACAACAACACTAAGCAAAACGGTTAGACAAATATGAGGCGAAACGAATGTTGCGCTAGCTTACTAAAAATATAAGCCACCTACCACAATTCTAGTTTCTATAGTCTCTAGGCATACAAAGGCTATGTCACTACACTAAGTTAGTGAGCTCTCAAAGACTAACTAAAGAGCCTCATTAACCACTAGACAAGACACAAGATAGCTCTCAAAACTAATTACACTAAAGAGCGTAGCAACACTAGAAATGTAAATGCAAGGTAGGGTAGTGGAGTTATACCGCCGTGTCGAGGAATGAACCAATCAAGATGATGACAATCAATCACAATGAATACCAAGAAATGCTCGGGACAAGATGACACAATGATTTTTCACCGAGGTTCACTTGCTTGCCGGCAAGCTAGTCCCCATTGTGGCGATTCACTCACTTGGAGGTTCACGCGCTTATAGGCACTACAATCAGGTGCTGCACAACCAACACAAGATGAAGATCACACAAGCCACGAGCAATTCACTAGAGTACCTTTTGACTCTCCGCCGGGGAAAGGTCAAGAACCCCTCACAATCACCATGATCAAAGTTGGAGACAAGCACCTTTCTCCGCTCGACAATCCTTGTTGCACCAAGCCATCTAGGTAGCAACAACCACTAAGAGTAACAAGCGAAACCCGTAGTGAAACACAATCACCAAGTTCCTCTAGATGCAATCACTCAAGCAATGCATTTGGATTCACTCCCAATCTCACAAAGATGATGAATCAATGATGGAGATGGGTGGGGGGCTTTGGCTAAGCTCACAAGATTGCTATGTCAATGCAAATGTCCAAGAGAATGAGCTTAAGCCGTCCATGAGGCTTAAATAAAGGCCCCCTCGAAATAGAGCCGTTGGTCTCTCACTACACGCTAACTGAACGCACTGGTCGGGGCGATCGGAAGCACCTAGGCCAGCGTCCGGTCAACGGATGCACGTCACATGTCCCTGTCTTTGATTTTCCACCGCGTGATCCCAATGGTCGAAATCGCCCGCGCCTTTGCTTAAGTGATGACCGGACGCCACGAAGGATGACTGGACGAGCCACCTTCGCGTTAGGTCCATGTAAATCCGCGTGCCACCTATTAGTGTCCGGACACACCGGTCCTTTCTTCTGACGTCGAGCCGAGCTGCATCAGGTCAACTCTAGAGAGGTTCCAGAGCGTCCGCTCCCCTCTTCCTCGTGAAATGGCTTGCGTTAGCGTACGTCATCATGACCGGACTCACCCTCCCGTGCGTCCGATCACTCTCATACTCCAGCGTCCAATCACACACCGAAGCCATGCCACTCACTACAGACCTAACCGGACGCGTAGGTCCAGGGTCAGGTCCTACGTCCGGTCACTCTAGTGGCCTCCTCGACTTCACAAACTTCGCCACCCTTGAGCAAATATGCTAACCACCAAGTATATCACCTTGTGCACATGTGTTAGCATATTTTCACAAATATTTTCAAAGGTGTTAGCACTCCACTAGATCTAAATGCATATGCAATGAGTTAGAACATCTAGTGGCACTTTGATAACCATATTTCAATACGAGTTTCACCCATCTTAATACTACAGTTATCGATCATAAATGTGATCACACCCACTAGGTATCTTGATCACCAAAACAAAAAGATACTATCAAGTTTCACCTTTGCCTTGAGCTTTTTGTTTTTCTCTTTCTTCTTTTCCAAGCCGAGCACTTGATCACCATGGCCATCACCACCATCAACATGATCTTCATTTACTCCACCACTTGGAATGTGCTACCTATCTCATGATCACTAGAGCAATAGGTTAGCACATAGGGTTTCATCAATTCACCAAAACCAAACTAGAGCTTTCATCTTGCCTATTGTGCCCACTTATATTTTTTCCCCAACGGCAAAGCCAAATTTCATTACTTGATACCAACGGAATTACAAGAGTTTGTAATGCAAAAGAAAACTACGTAAACCGTAAAATGCCACATTAGACTGAACATAGAGGGTTCATCTAATTGGCACAACCCCGACTACACGACACCTAAAAGCATTAACCCACAACATCAAGTGATCGTCGCTATACAACGAAACCAAACCCAGCGCAACGTTGCAAGTCTATTACAAGCGTAACAAGCCCAAATGGCTTCTTTGACAGCACACAGGCTATGATCAGTTCTCCAGCAAAAGACTCTTCGCAATATGAAGAATCAACAATTGCCATAATCTCCCATAGCACGCTCCACGACCCCTTACCCGTGCCCGTCTCATCAACGTATGAATCAACAAATTTTGGAGAGGAACTTAGATAGGATCTTGGAGCTAACCTAGAGTGGATCTGGATCTTGAAGCTGAGGAGGAGGTGGCAGCGGCGGCGGTGATCGCGTGTCGACGTTGAGCGGACCCGAAAGCCGCGTGTCGAGGGAGAGGCCGGTGATGGAGAAGAGCTATTGAGGCGAGGAAGAAGATAGCGGCGGCGGCGAGGCGAGGAGCAGCTACCTAGCTCGAGCGTGCGAGAGCAGCCGCCTCCAGGAAAAGGCAGGGTTCAGGTCGACCTCCCCTTTGTGTGGGCTTCCAAATGCAGAGGAAGCCTGGGCCATGGTTGAGTTTCGCGTGGGCTTCTTGCCAGGGGGGAAGGAGGCCAGGACATGGACATGGGTTTGGGTTTCTTTAGATATGGCATTTGTATGTTTGCAAATTGCAACGATAGTGAAAGTAACTGAGATTTGATTTTTTTTTTTGGTCCCTGCATCCTAAGTTCCTAACGACGATACACTCACTAAATCCCAATTCATGTCAGTAGCAAAAATCAGATCAAGGCCAGATTCACTGCTTAATCTCACACCAAAGGATTTCACCAACGGTAAATATTCCAGGTGACCCACTCTAAACTCAATAAATCCACTAATCAACGGCAACATATCCCCTCCGCTCCCCGATCCAACGGCCCCGAAATTCCGCAGCGGCCGAATACCCCCTGGCCGCTTGGCCGCTAGCCGTTGCGCCAGCGCCGCACGCCGGCAACGTTACCCCTGCTTCACCGGCTTCGCCTCGACTCCTCCTCCTTCCTCGTCTATAAATTCGCTTCGGCTCGTCCACGCGGATTTCGAAACGCGAATTGCATCCCATCCCTCTCGGATCGCGCCTCATTACTCTCGCTCATCAACCGCCGCTCGGGGTTTCGAAAGCTTTCGTCCTCCCCCCTCCCGGTTTGCGCACGTTTTGATCGGGGAGGGATGATGGCGGCTGCGGCGACGAGAGCCAGAGGAGGACCGCGGCGCCCGTTCGCGCCCGTGGTGGTGTCGCCGCCGCCGCTGCCGGCGTCGCAGGCGGAGAATCGGCTGGCGCGCGAGGACGCGCCGTCCTCGTTCGCGCGGCGGGAGCCGAGGAGGTTCGGGGCGTGCACCGGGAAGGTCACGGGACCAGCGGTTCTTGGCGCCGGCGGCAAAGCGGCCAAGAAGTGCGGCCCTGGGTCGTCCCCGGCCAAGAAGACGCCGGTGGCGGCGAAGAGGGCGCCGGGGACGGCGGCCAGGAGGAGGCTTGATTCTTGCACCAAGAAGTGCTCGACTCTGGCGGCGGGCGGTGCGGTGGCGGCGTACGAGGCGCCGCGCGCGCCGGCGTCGGGCGCCGCCGAGGAGGGCGACGACGAGGTGCGGGCCAAGCTCTCCTACCCCTGCAGCGAGGCGGACCAAGAACGGCGGGGCAGCGAGGTCTCCGCCTCGCGGAACCGGGCGATGACGGTCGTGGCGATGGAGGAGGCCATGGCGGGCCTCCCGGAGCCCGGCGAGGGCCGCGTCAAGTACCTGGTGGACACGTTCGAGCGGTTCCTCTCGCTGGGCGGCGGAGGAGGCGGAGGCGGCCCCATGGCGCGGAACAGAGGCGCGGCGAGGAGGAGGAAGGGCGAGGGAACCGCGACCGCGACAGCGACGGTGTCGTTGCCAGCAACGCCGCGGGTGCCGAGGAGATCGACGTGTCGTACCCTTCCATTGCGTCGTCGTCCGAGGTCTCCTTCCCGGTCATCCCCGGTGTCGCCTGCATCCTCGACGCCTCCGACCGCACAAGGTCTCGTATTCCTCACCCATCGCTGCACATGTTCTTGATTGCTGTTCTTGACAACTTCTGTTGATGCGGTCTCTGAATATTCAGCAGGATCAGCCGTGCACGAGGCCAACGGCGGCAGAGGGCATACAACGTACGTACGCACACAGCATGCTCGTAATCCTGTTTCTCCTTCAGCTCATGAATTTGCTCTGAATTTTGCGCGGACACTGTTTGCACATCGCAGAGCACCGGATCGTCGGATAGGCCATGGAGTTGCAGCAGGAAGGTGACAAGGGTGACCACTCAGCAGCCGTTCCGTCTCTGGACCGAGGTATGAGGGCCTAGTGCTTCAAAAACATCTTATTTGTTCATGCTTGTACTTTTGAAGAAATTGTCCATGCTTGTCCAGTTTTCCTTCTGAAGAAATTGTTCATGCTTGGGTAACTAAAGAAATCGTGTCCTGTTCCTATACTCAGCAAAGGGGAAAAGCCAAGGAAGGAAATTTTCTTGAGAGGCTGAGGAAGATGCAGCGAGAGGAGGAGAGGCTGCGCCATCCACTCGCGCAGGGTCTACCGTACACAACTGATGAACCAGAGGTATGCCAGCTATGCCTTCAGTAATTTCAGTTCATAGTGTCCACTTTACACTGCTAGACTAGGTGAACTGTTGCTTGATTTACCATGGTTACCAGTGCCTACAGGATTTTTCATGTATACAGTTTAGTTCTAAGCACCATTGCCTTTGCCGTGATTGGTTACAGTGGGCTGACACACAATTTTCAGTCTGTTACTCTGTTATTGCTGTTTTTGAACTTTTATTAAGGAAGACCATGTTTCCTTATTGGTTATCCGAGGTGACAAGTGTTACCCTGTTCGCTTATGCTGAAATGTTGCGAGAAAAAAACACTGTTCCAATGTCTGTTCAGCCTTTTTCTGATCCTTCTGTTCTGCAGATCCCCACGAAACCTCCAACAAAGGAACCCACGGAACCGATCGATCATGTGCTGCACAGCGACGTGCGTGTGGTCAGACGCGTCAAGTTCGATACCCAAGTAAGTTGCCCACTGCGATGCTCGCTCGTCGTCGCCAATTCCTGAGGGCTGCTATGCAACGGCTGTCTTTCCATCCTGCAGGTCGCTGAGCGCAATAGCTTCATGGAGGAAGTGAAACTGGAGAGGGAAAGACAGCAGAAGGTTTGCTGCCTATATCCATCTGAAACTTACAGCATGGTATTGGTACGAGTTAAGGCCATCCATGGTACGATGTATTCTTGTGCAGTTGGATGAGGAGATTGAGATCAACCAGCTAAGGAAGGAGCAGGTTCCAAGAGCACATCCAATGCCAGACTTCTCCAAGCCCTTTGTGCCAAAAAGGTATTGAATTTCTAATCCTTTTGCCTTCTCTGATGATCTGTCAACATTTTTTTTTGCATGATCAATCGCTCAGTCTCACAATCTCAGCACCCAAGAAGGTCTAAATTAACTCAAACCATAGTTTCATGTACATTTCCATATATAATTAAATGCAAGTACCTGCAACTGGTTTCGTTTCAAACTATATTCAGCTAAATCTTTTTATGTGAAAATGCAGGTCAGTGAAGCTTCCTACAATTCCCAGGGAGCCAAGGTTTCACTCCAGGTTGATGAGGCGCATCTCAAAGGCGCGATGATCTTTGAAAGTAGTTGCCTTGGTTGCCTTTGAAAGTAGTTGCCTTGGTTGCTGCTAGCAAGTAGAAACTGCATTTTTTTCTGAAATAAACAAAAAAGAAATAGAGAATACCATGTATCAAAACATGTATCTATATTAGTAGCGCCCTTAATAAATGTACTTGGCTATTTATGGTCCATTACTCTATTTTTGTAATATACATGCTTCTTGTTTGTGCTGTACTGCTAATTCCTGCTTGTACATTTCTACTGATGCATATTCAGATGGCACTTTCACAAAGAGATGGACGTACTTGTCCAAAATTCATTTTCCTCATCCAGTGATGATGATGTAAAGAGTTTTAAATCCCTGCGGCACAATTAGCACGGATTACTTGCTTTGTAGTAGAATATTCAGACTGACTTACTAGTTACTAGTAACAACCTCAGTACTGTGAGAAAGCGAGAACAAAACCGACTGAGAACACTGCAGAGTGGTGGCACATGCAGAGTTGTTGGCGCAGTTTATTGTAGTGTCCGTTTTGGAGGGATTGCCGTTCCAATTTTTTTTTTAATTTCACATTGCCGCTCCAATTCGTAACAAGACACATTGGCACTTAGAAACAACCGGAGGAAGCCACTGAGGACACATAGAAACAACCGGAGGAAGCCACTGAGGACACATTTGGATGCCCGCCAATCTTGGCTGCTGGCCAAACTTTGGCGGCTAGGCCGGTTGCCCCAAATTGGCCAGGCAGGGACGTCGAATTGCACTGAAGATTGGTCACAACAGCTGGCCAGGCCAAACAACGGCACACATCCAAAACGCAACAGAGCACTCGGTTAACGGCCGCAGCAGCGGTATCCATCCACTCCTAGAGCGAAGAAATTGGGTGGTTCGTTGCAACTGATCGAAGTTGTTTTAATACCAGGAAACTTTTATTTTCAGAGAGCAGTGCAGGACAAGCTTCGATGCTCTGAACTAGTTTTTAGCCTAGTTTAAAAAAAAAAGTTTTTAGCCTGGCAGTTTGACGCAATAAGAGGATTAAATATTTTTTTTTCACAAATACTCCCAGTATATTAGTAGTTTCTCCTTTGATTTTTTTTTTTTTTTTTTTGAGGGGAAGTAGTTTCTCCTTGGATTTCAGAGGTGAAAGAGAAAATTTACACCAACTGGCCCACGATCAAATGGCCCAGCTCGTTTTGCTTCAACTGGGCCGGCCTAGCAACGATATCTGACAGTCCGGGCCCAGTGCCTCATAAAAGCACATTCGCTCAAAAAGTCAAAACCCACTTAACTCCAAATTTTCCGAAAAGAAATAAAAAAAAGGAGGCGATAAAACGGGAAAGCCCCGTAGGTTCTCTCGCCACTTCGCCAGTCCCCTGCTCAACACCGAATCCGTGAAGATTCGTCCTCCATTCCATCCGATTCGCGGGATCTCGGCCGGATTCAAAACCCGGGAGGCGCGGCCGATCCGCCCGGTCGCAGCGGCATCTGATTTGGTGCGGATTTTGGCGACATAGACCCACCCGCCCCTTGCCCCTCCTCTGTTTTTCAAGGGTAAAGATGGCGCCGCCGCGGGGCGGCTACGACGAGCAAGGCGAGTGTTTATCGAGGGAGGCCGTTTCGTTTTTGATGGATTGAGAGGGGAGTTTTTATGCCACTGATCGCGGTTTTTGTGTGGCTATGCGCAGATCGCCGGACGGCGAAGGGCACCGAGGTGTTCGTCGGCGGGCTGCCGCGGTCGGCCACGGAAAGCACGCTCCGGGAGGTTCGTTTGCTGCTTCTGTTTCTTCTGGTTTGTAGTTTACCCACAAGAGATAGAGGGCTGCTTCTGTGCAATATAAGTTTGATGGTGTTGAAAATTTTAAACATACAGAGGTTGAATCAGACCTGTATTTATTGCATTTGGGCTGGTTTGTAAAAGTAGCGTCTAAATTGCAAATCAGAGTTAGATGTGTACCTGCCAGGAGAGCTGGTGCCATTGTAGATTCTGTGGTTAGATATCATTGCCTGATGCCTGCCTATTTTACTCTTAACAAAGTAAATTAAAGGGGAGGAGTGGTTTACATTTCTTCTGTAATCTAAATGAGAATAGCTGAATCTGAAAAACTACAGTTGCGTATTTGACCCTTCGGTTTATTCTGTACTTTTTTTAGTGGAATAGTAATATCTAGTAATAAGCCAAGTATGCCATGTTGTGAAGATTAGAATACAACAACAACAACAACAAAGTCTTTAAGTCCCAAACAAGTTGGGGTAGGCTAGAGTTGAAACCCAGCAGAAGCAATCAAGGTTCAGGCACGTGAATAGCTGTCTTCCAAGCACTCCTATCTAAGGCTAAGTCTTTGGGTATATTCCAAGCACTCCTATCTAAGGTTCAGGCACGTGAATATTTAATTTATTTCATATTTCAATGTTGAACTTAAATCATATTTAGAATGATGCTGTCCAACTTGTTTGTTCTCTTCTGTCTGAATAGTGAAGTTAGAATTAATGGTTCATGTGTAAAGGAAGTTTTCTTGCATTTTCTTTGTTGTGGCACTGACTTGTATAGCATTAACAGATATTTTCTTCATGCGGAGAGATTATTGACGTGCGTATAATGAAAGATCAGAATGGCCATTCAAAGGTCTGGTACAAGTGTAAAATTTAGACATCGCAGTATATGATTTCAGTCTTTTAGACATCGTTTTTTTCCTTCACTTTGTTATGAAACACTAACGTCATTTTTCTGTCCTGAAATCTTTTCAGGGATATGGTTTTGTTAGGTTTTCAAAGAGGGAGTATGCTAATACGGCCAAAAGGCAAAAGAATGGTATTGAGGTAAGAATGCTTAACTTGTTCTAATAATGCTTACAAATCTATTGTGTTTAGTCACATGTGTTCTAACAATGCTTAACTTGTGCTAATATGTACCAGTCTGCCATTACGTTCAATCATTTTTTCCCCTGTGTCTAGTTCACATCTATATGTAGCAACTTTTGCTTTCCCGTCGTTAATATTTTGTTATACGTAGCAGTTTCATAATGTTGCCTGCAGCAATTGCTTTTTGGTTTCTTCACATTTCTATTAATCACAAGTTTGTTTTATTTTATTTCCTTTTCTATAGACCTTGAGTCCAGACTCCAGAGTGAGATCTGAGATGGTAGTGTGCCTTTTCATTATAACAGATGTAAAGAATAGCACTGTGTCTCATGTATGAAACTTGACATTCATAACATATTTGCTGTTGGTTCTTTACCAGCTTCAAGGAAAGAGGCTTCATGTTGATCTGTCAATGGATCAAGATACAGTTTTCTTTGGAAATCTTTGCAAAGGTAAACTCCACTCATGGTGAAAATCAAGAATCATGATGCAGTAAATTTCCCTGAAAGAAAAATACACGCCAATATATTTGACGAATCATTTGTTAGTATCAATGTCATGTCAATGGCAAGAAAAATCTGTAATACCTGTCCATCGTCTTAGACAACCCAATGTAGCAGTGCAGAGCGCTTGTCAACATGTTGATCTGCAGAACTTTGTTGTGAAAATACACAGAAAATCAAAATTGTCATCTAAGTGCTAATGTCTGCTTTCCCTTATTGTTTTGCCAGAGTGGACTTTAGAAGAATTTGAAGAATTGATTCGCAAGGTAGAACCTTGATATACCTATCAATCATAGATTTCTTTTATATATATACTTCTCAAAATAATTTCACTTGGACACACATATTTTGCCAGACATTCAAAGATGTTGTTTCGGTTGACCTTGCAATGGCTTCAAATCTTGGTTCTTCAAACAAGAGGAATATCAATCGAGGCTTTGCATTCGTGAGATTTTCTTCTCATGCAGTAAGTCTTTGCCTCACTGGTGGAAAAGTTTTCTTTTCTTAGTACATTCTGCATTTGCCATTAATTTAAATATTGTTTTACGATGTTCAGATTTCTTTCTCATATTTTGTTCATTTTATCCTATTAGTTTAAATTTTCCTTTTGGAAAGGTAGTTTTTGTATAGTTGACCATAGCTCTGTCAACTGATTTATCTTGCAGGTATTGGTCAAATATTATTGCCTCTTGTTTCTTTTCAGTTTATTTGGATAAAAGAATCTTATGCAAATATCAAGATATGTGCAAATTACCTTAGTCTATCGTCCTTTCTAGTAGCAAAAGAGCACATGTGCCATTTGTCTCATGCATGATCAAGTGATTATATATCCTTAGTGCCCCTATGTCTTAATCAAAATATGGAGCCAAATGATGAATTGGCACCAAATTATCAAAGTACCTTACTATCTGCTGACAAGCTAAGGAATTCACATCTTTGACTTGTATACTTGACGTTGATTTTGGATTCTATAGCAAAATACCTTATGATCTGCTGACAAGCGAAGGAATTCACATCTCTGATTTGTATACTTGACATTGATTTTGGATTTATATGGCAACATAATTTCTCCATCTATCATGTCATAAATGACTGACTAATGTTGCAAAGAATGGATTTTAATGTTACTGTTTTCACATGAAAATTTCCTGTTGCATTGTGGGTACTTCTGAAGAAGCCACCGACATTGAAGAATCATTTGTTCAACACAGTTTTAGAGAAAATTTTGGTACTGGCCATTATAGGAAAAAGACATATGCCAGAATTTTCATCTGAGTCATATCTTGTAGCTTTGATATGCTCTTTACATTTACATTTATATCCATGGTTGAAGTTCATTACAAAGTATAGGAGGCAGAGACAATGACCACTGCCAGTGTTTATCTGAAATGAATTCCCAATCTTCCTAGTTCACTGGGTGGCGCTATATCTGATGAAACACTGTCTGGAAGGATGATGATTGGTTAGCCAAGCCAAAGGAATACTTGCATGCTTGCCTTTTCTGATCTGCAACACTCACAAACTGTATTCCATGCCCACTAGTAATTAACTACATGAAATCATCGGCCTTTATTATCATTTGTTTATCTGGATGACCTTTGTTCTCTAGAGACCTGTGAGAAGCTGTGTTGAAAACACATAATGCTGCAGAGGTAATGTAGTTCCAAAGTTTAGCCTGAGTTTTTTTTCTCGAACACACAGGAGAACTGCGTATCATTATACTAAGAAGAATAAAAAGGGGGAAAGAAACCCCATACAACACCACACACTCACGCCTTGGACTCTAAGAGAAAACTAATCACCTTGAGAACAGTTTACAATGACCCCTGACCTACAAAAACAATCATTCAGGCAGCAGGCCAGTCAGGTAAGTTATACCCCTGGCACCTGCAGTCCCCCAGAACCTCAACTCATCGGAAGCAAGAGTTAAAACTCTATTTAGATTTGGTGAAACTCCATTGAATGCACAGTGATTTCTATGATTCCAGAGTGTCCAAGCTCCTAAAATGACAATAGAGTTCAAGCCTTCTCTTGCCAGTCCACCACCAGCCCTGCTAGCTCTGTCCCACCAGGCCCCAAAGGATGTTTCACCTGTCTGGGGCGAGATGCTTCGCATGCCAACCTTCTGCAACTGGCCAAACCAAAAATCTCGTGCAAAAACAGTCTACCAGAAGGCGATTTATAGTCTCAGCATCTTGGTCACAAAGAAGGCAACGAGAGCGATGGTCAAGACCCCGCCTTGCTAGCCTATCTGCTGTCCAGCATCTATTGTGTGCGACAAGCCACATGAAGAAGCGACATTTGGCCGGTGCCCAAGTCTTCCAGATCCCCTCCCAAGAGAATAGTCTCACTGATCCCTGGAATAAACCCCTATATGTCAATTTTGCTGTATACTGTCCACTTGAGCTGAGTTTCCAAATATGAGAATCCTCCACACCAGACTGTAGTTCCACATTAGACAGAGTGTCGCAGAGCTCAAGGAATTCCACATTAGACAAAGTGCACCTTGCAGATCCAAGATCCAAGTCTGGTTTGTGTGGCCTTCCAGGACAGTGCGTTTATTTGCTCGTCTCTTAGGAATGAGAGCAAACAAATGTGGGGCAATATCAGCAATACATCGACCATGAAGCCATCTATCTGTCCAAAAAAGTGACGAGCTCCATCACCATCTAGCCTGAGTTTTTAGCAACAGCAAAACCCAAAATCCATATGTAGGACATTTAGAAACACGGATGGGGAAATCAACATATATCTCATTAGTCATCTACTTCCATGTGATGTAGAAAGTTTCCTCGCAGTTCCTCTTTCTCTCTCTCAGACCAAGAGTCAAATAAGAGCTTACAATAAATTAATGGCTGCAATGAAGTTTAACAGTTCAGTTATGAAGGCCTGAAGGTTACCGATGATTGAAGCAACACTGTTACTTGGCAGCTTCTTCTGTTGCTTGTGTTGGCATCGGTTATTATTTGGCATTCTTTTTTTTTCCTCAAAAACGCAGGAGAACTGCAACAACAACAACAAAGCCTTTAAGTCCCAAACAAGTTGGGGTAGGCTAGAGTTGAAACCCAGCAGAAGCAATCAAGGTTCAGGCACATAAATAGCTGTTTTCCAAGCACTCCTATCTAAGGCGAAGTCTTTGGGTATATTCCATCCTTTCAAATCTCCTTTTATTGCCTCTACTCAAGTCAACTTCGGTCTTCCTCTACCTCTCTTCACGTTACTATCCTGGCTTAGGATTCCACTACGCACCGGTGCCTCTGGAGGTCTCCGTTGGACATGTCCAAACCATCTCAACCGGTGTTGGACAAGCTTTTCTTCAATTGGTGCTACCCCTAATCTATCACGTATATCATCGTTCCGAACTCGATCCCTTCTTGTATGACCACAAATCCAACGCAACATACGCATTTCATGACACTTATCTCGTTGAACATGTCGCCTTTTCAGAGGCCAACATTACGCACACCATACAACATAGCAGTCTAATCGCCGTCCCTATAAAACTTGTCTTTTAGCTTCGTGGTACCCTTTTGTCATATAGGACACCGATGCTTGGCGCCACTTCATCCACCCCGCTTTGATTCTATGGCTAACATCTTCATCAATATCCCCGCCTCTCTCTCGTAGCATTGATCCTAAATATCGAAAGGTATCCTTCCTAGCCACTACTTGACCTTCCAAACTAATATCTTCCTCCTCCCGAGTAGTAGTTCAAAGTCACATCTCATATACTCGCTTTTAGTTCTCATCGAGTCTAAAACCTTTGGACTCCAAAGTCTTCCACCATAACTCCAGCTTACGATTCACTCATGTCCGACTTTCATCAACTAGCACTACATCATCCGCGAAAAGCATACACCAAGAGATGTCCCTTGTATGTCCCTTATGACCTCATCCATCACTAAGGCAAACAGATAAGGGTTCAAAGTCGACCCTTGATGTAGTCCTATCCTAATCGAGAAGTCATTCGTGTCTCCATCACTTGTTCAACACTAGTCACAACATTGTTGTACATGTCCTTAATGAGCTGGCGCGTGCCGTTTGGGACTTTATGTTTGTCCAAAGCCCACTACATAACATTCCTTGGTATTTTATCATAAGCCTTCTCCAAGTCAATAAAACCATGTGTAGGTTCTTCTTCTTCTCCCTATACCGCTTCATAACTTGTCTTATTAAGAAAATGGCTTCCATGGTTGACCTTCCGGGCACGAAACCAAATTGGTTCATAGAAACCCGCGTTATTGCTCTCAAGCGATGCTCGATAACTCTCTCCCATAGCTTCATAGTATGGCTCATCAACTTAATTCTCCGGGGTAATTAATACAACTTTAAATATCCCCTTTATTCTTATAGATCGGTACCAACATACTTCTCCACTCGTTATGCATCTTGTTCGATCGAAAAATATGGTTAAACAGCTTGGTTAGCCATACTATAGCTATGTCCCCAATGCATCTCCACATCTCGATTGGGATACCATCCGGTCCCATCGTCTTACCTCCTTTCATCCTTTTCAACGCCTCTCTGACCTCAGATTCTTGGATTCTCCGCACAAAGCGCCTATTAGTGTCATCAAAAGAGTCATCCAACTGAAAGGTTGTGTCCGTATTCTCACCATTGAACAATTTGTCAAAATACTCTTGTCATCGATGTCGGATCTCATCCTCCTTCACCAAGAGATGCTCCCGTTCATCCTTAATGCACTTAACTTGGTTGAAGTCCCTTGTCTTTCTCTCACGCTCTTTCATACTCAAATGTTGGTAAAGATCCTCGTACGCTCTACCATTTGCCACACTTACAGCTCGCTTTGCAGTCTTCTTTGCCACCTTATACTTCTCTATGTTGTCCACACTCCTGTTATGGTACAAGCGTCTATAGCATTCTTTCTTCTCCTTGATAGTTCTTTGGACTTTCTCGTTCCACCACCAAGTATCTTTAGCCTCGCCTCCACTTCCTTTGGTTATCCCACACACCTCTGAGATCACCTTTCGAATGTTGGTTGCCATCTTCTCCCACATGTTGTTTATGTCCTCTTCTTCCTTCTAAGAGCCCTCTTTGATAACCCTTTCCCTGAATATCTCTGACGTCTCCCATTTTAGTTTCCACCACTTTGTTCTTTCAATCTTAGCTTATTTATCCCTACGGGCACGCACCTGAAAACGAAAGTCTGCCACCAAAAGCTTATGTTGAGAAACAACACACTCCCCTGGTATCACCTTGCAACCCAAGCATGCTCGTTTGTCCTTTCTTCTTGCGAGGACAAAGTCAATCTGGCTAGAGTGTTGTCCGCTACTGAAGGTCACTAGATGAGATTCTCTCTTTCTAAAGAAAGTGTTGGCTATCATCAGGTCAAAAGCTACCGCGAAGTCCAGAACTTCCTCCCCCTCCTGATTCCTACTACCATACACAAAACCTCCATGAACTGCCTCGAAACCTGCGCTGGTAGTACCTACATGCCCATTAAGATCTCCTATAAAAAGCTTCTCACTACTAGGTACAGCTCTAATCAGGCCATCTAAGTCTTCCCAGAACTGTCTCTTAGCACTCTCGTCGAGGCCTACTTGGGGGGCATACGCACTAATTACATTCAAGACCATATCACCAATGACAAGCTTGACTAAGATAATCCTATCTTCTTGCCTTCTCACTTCCACCACACTATTCTTGAGGCTCTTATCAATCAAAACTCCTACTCCATTTCTATTCGCGACTGTCCTTGTGTACCAAAGGTTAAAACCTGTATTGTCCACCTCCTTCGTCTTCTGACCCTTCCATTTAGTTTCTTGAACGCATAATATATTTAGACGCCTCCTAGTCGCGGTATCAACTAATTCTCTTAACTTACCTGTAAGCGACCCTACATTCCAACTATCTAAACGGATCCTAGTTGGTTCGACTAGCTTCCTTACCCTTCGCACCCGTCGACTCAGATGTGAAGACCCTTGCTCATTGTTCACTACACCCAGGCACCGATGTAGCGCGCCACTAAGGATGCGACGACCCGATCCTTGCTCACTTGACACCGTGCCCAGATCGCGACACGGCGCGTCACGGGGGTGACGACCCGGCCCTTGCTCATTTAACACCATACCCAGGTTCCGATATGGCGCGTCGCTAAGAGGGTTACGCCCCAACGGTTTTCTTCCGGGTTTCATCTCCATTAGAATGGCTAGATTTAACGTTGGTTCGCCACGCCTATCACAACACTCCTCCTTTACCAGGGCTTGGGACCTACTATGTTGAGACAACATAGGCGGAGTTAAACGTAGGAGAACTGCGCTTCATTATATTTAGAAGAAATTATTTGGCATTCTTTGACTTGCCTATATATTTCTTTAATTCAAGTAAAAGCAGACTATATAACAGTACCCCCCCTTTTTTTTTCTTGAACAGACAGGAGAGCTGCATATCATTTCATTAAGAAGAAAGGTCTGAAACAGGAAGAAATCCCAAACAACACTCACACAGTCAAACACCCACAACACTCTAGAAAACTAGGCCATACTGAAAGTAAAGACCAAAAGCAACATGACCAGAACTACCACACTATTGCCTGAGCCCCTCCCAAAGGCCTTCCAAGAAGCTCCAGGAGGTCCTTTGCTCCGGCTGAGCACCAAAGGATGCACTCGTAAGTGACTGCTTGCAACACCATTGTAATGCTTGGAGTAGAGCCATTAAAAACACAGTCGCCCTGTACTTCCAGATTCCCCAAGCCACCAATATTGCCAGTGAATTGAGCCCCTTTTTGTAGTCCATTGTTACCTCTTTAACTGCCAGTGCCTGGTACCACCAGCTTCAGAATCAATGAGTTGATGGTTGGGGTGCAATGGAGGCCAAGCCAATTTTCTGCAATCTGCAAAATGATGAACCAGATTTGCCAGGCGAAAACACGTGAAACCAATAGGTGCTGTATGGTCTCCTCTTGATTACAGAAGGGGCAAGTAGCGGGGTGGGGAGTCCTCTTTTAGTGAGCCGGTCTGCCATTCAAGAACAGTTCTTTCATGCAAGCCAAATGAAGAACTTGCAGCGAAGAGGCGCCCAATATTTCCAAATTCGTTTCCAAGGAGCAAAGCGGATGGAACCAAGGAAAAAGGCATTGTAGGCCGAGTTTGCTAGAGTAAGAACCATTCCTAGTAAGCCTCCAAACAATGCTGATTGGCATCATTCTGCTGCAGCGAGAAACCATCCATCAAGTCCCGTAAGAGATATTCTGTAAGAACCTGGACAGAGAGAGCTCCTCTTATGTCAGCTACCCAACGACGGGGCAACCAGGGTTTCGGCGATCGTACGTCACTTGATGATCCTCTTAGGAATTTCCTAGTTGATCGTTTTTCAGTTTATTCCCAAATCTAGCTGTGTTCTGTGGCTGTGAAATTATATCTCCCATGCTGATACTTGATTCCCTTCTCTTGGCTTCATTACTACACCACAGTAATTTGGATCTGCCATTATGTTACTCTGCAAATCTCATTTGATATCAATCACAGCTGTCACATACAATGATACAAAATACAAGTATGTTATCTAGATAAGATCTTGATTCATCAGTCATCACTGATCTGAGTTTTCGCCACTGAGATGCGTGGAAAAGACAGATATCTAATAACATCTTGGTGAAGATGTTCTTAGGTCCTTTGCTTTCTGCTCAAGCCAGCTTCCTTTGATTTCATTCCTCCTGAAACTATCAATCACAGGCTGCAGCACGTGTAATCCGTATCGGTTCAAGAACAGATTTTATGCTTGGCGATATTTTGCATCCTGCGATAAATTGGGCTGATAAAGAGTCTCATGTGGATCCTGATGAAATGGCCAAGGTAATGTAGAAAAAGGGAAGCATTTTTTTCCTCGATATAAATATAGTTATCTTCTGTTTGAACTTTTGATCGTGATTTCTGTTCTGTGTACTCTCAGATTAAGTCTGCTTTTGTTGGGAACCTGCCAGAAGATGTTAGCGAGGAGTACTTGAGAAAGCTTTTTGAACAGTTCAGTGAGGTTGGTGCACCAAGATGTCTGTCACATTTTTTGCAATTTCGATTAACCAATATTACATGCAATGTTATGAGTGAGGATCCTGTTGGCGCCCCCCCCCTTTTTCATCTCTATAATACAATGAAACGCAGCTCTCCTGCGTTTAAAAAAAAATATTACATGCAATGTTGAACAACTATGACGGATGTGCAACCAGGTAGTACGGGTTGCTATCTCAAGAAAAGGACAAGGCCCAGTTGGTTTTGTTCACTTCGCCAATCGTTCAGTAAGTGTTTATCATAATTCCGAAGAGTATGTTTTCGGGCACTTAATGTGCTTGGATATTCTTTAAACAGCTGTATTGGATTGATTGCTATAAAAAAAACTATATATTATCAATTACAGGAGCTTGAAAATGCTATAGAAGAAATGGATGGTAAAACGGTGAGAGGACCTAATCGAGGACCGTCTTTCAGGATCCAGGCATGAATAACAATGTTATCTGTTTGGGATTATTACTAGCTTCTTGCTGCTTATTTGATCTTTCTACTTTGGATTTGACAAATTAATCTCTCATTTTTTTTTCTCAATAGGTGTCAGTTGCTCGACCTGTGGCAGACAATGACAAGAAGCGATCTCGTGAAGAAGTGAGAACTAGAAGATCAAATGTATCAGGAGATAGGCAAGATTATTCTCATGGAAGATATGGACATGATTCACTTGATCGTCAAGTGAAAGCTCCAAGATTATCTAATTATGTATGTATGATAATCAACATGTTGCCAATTATTTTGGGTTTTTTTTCTTTTTCTTCCTTTTAATGTTAAAAACTAACAAGTGAGTTTTGACTTTTGAGTAAAGATAGAACTTCCTATAATTAAATCTGAAATGACCTGAGCTACTAAGTCTTGAAATGTTCATCTTAGCTAGCCAGTGACTCAGTAGAGCTTTGGTTCACTTGTTATTTGTCACCTTCATTTTGTGGATGCTATAGTTGTTTTAGAAGTAAACTGCGCATCAGTCTGCTACCTCTAGGTGGTCTTATGATCTTTTTGTCTTCTCTGTACAAATATAATATGAAGACATCAGATTCTGTATGATAGTTTGCTGCTCAACTCTGGCTTTGAAGGCTAGAAGTGCAATTATTTTACTGGAAGCTCTCCTGTTGGGTAGGTTAAATAGGCTAGAAGCACAGCCATTTTCAGTTTTTGTAGCTTGATTTCTTGCTTATTTATGATATAACAAAACTGAGCATCAGATATCCCAGCATTGACCAGCTGAATTAGCAGTTTTCTAGTATTTGAATACATGTTTTTTTTTTTGTAAGCATGCTTAGTTGAATGGAATAAATTTCCTATTGCAGTAAGGAGAAAGGATGGTGTGTTTGTTCATGTTTGTGACAATGTTTTCTGTGTGTTTCTCTCTTATTAGGCGGCTGATGCCTCTGACCCCTATGAATCAGCTGTTAATTCATTACCTTCAGCTGCCAAGGAAGTCTTGCTTGGATTCTACGCCTAAGAATTGGTACTCAATATGATGTAAGTGATTTGTACAGGGAGGTCTCCATTTGTTCCCTTTAATGTATGAACCATGAAGCATGATGTTCTTTTCCATCTTCCTTTCTTCAGATTGACATCCATTGTGTAAAAAGCCTCAATGAGCTTCCTGAGTCATCTGCTCTTGCTGTCCTTAATCAGGTATTCAGTTGTTTTACATAAATGATTTTTGAGCCCTTACCTGAACCATGTTATCATTAATCCTCACCAAGAAGCACATGCAGTTTTTGATATCGGGTGGAGATAAACGCAATAAAGGAGATTATTTTGCATCATTGATTGCTAAGGTACTACCTCACTCAATATCATCCATCTTTCCTTTTTGCTCTTTTCTCCTTTTTCTTTCCTTGAATGTCTTGTTTTGACTTGCAGCACCAGGCTGAGGCCTTTGGCTTAACACATACATTGCACGGTACTACTTATTTGCCAAGAAATCCAGAAATACATAGCAAGCGATACCCAGATGAAGATTATGATTTTGTGACACCCGGGTAGGTTTGCACTCACTCCTCTGCTCTGGCTGGCTTACTGTAAATGGTGCTTGTGGTATTCAAGCTCGGATGGTAATCTCCACTTTACTTGCAGGAGCAGTAGATACAATTCCTCAGGCCATCATCCTTCAACATATTACGTAGACGATCCACCAGTGTCTCAGTCAAGGATTAGAAGATATGCTGAAGAAAGATCCACCATTGTAAGAAACCCAGAACCATGTCCGCGACATGACGAAATTGACATAAGAATGAACCCAGAACCAAGATTAGCGTATGAATCAAGACACAACACTGGAAAGCATCTTGATCGAAGATACATACAAGAGCATAGTTCAAATATTGAAAGATCAGCTGAAGAAGCTGTTCTTTCTAGGGAAAGGAGATTCCTGCCTGCTGCAGGGTACAAGGCAGGGTACAACACGGACGTAGGGTCAGATTTCCGCTCCAGGTCACCCGCTGAATATTCGGCAGAACGCCAACAAGTAAGGTTTGATCCCTTCACAGGTGAACCCTACAAGTTTGATCCCTTCACAGGTGAGCCCATCAGGCCAGATCCAAACCCGCGCCGCTCAGGAAGCTTGTACTGATCAGATTGGTTGAAGCGATATGCCAGATAAGATCATGCTCCTGAAACAAAGCTAGATCTGTATAACTCTCTTCGTATCTGCGTGCCTGTGTGTGATGTTGCTTCTGACCTACAGATCATGTATCCCGAGCACCATGCATGGTCCAAAAGCACGCTTTATTTATATTTGATCAATCTTGACACTGAATTGTCATAGGAACTTTTGTGCCCATGACGCTACTTATTGTTTGGTAAGATATTCATGAATACCTTTTTGATAGATTAATTAAAAATCCAACAACGTGAACCGGGGAAAGCTGTTTTTTGGTATTTTCTTAAAGGTATCAATTAAGTAGGTGTGGCAATGCAGAATTTGAACTGCTACGTATATTGCAAGCGCTATTTTACTGATTCGTCTTTACGTATTGCCAAATGTTTCATTGACTTAGTTATTTGTTCACTTTGGATGCTGATCAAGGGACCAAGCCTTTTTAATATATACTCATCTGGAGAATGTCAAGCAAGATGGCTGATTTGGACACATGCCCTAATGATACTACCTTTTCTTCCACTTCCTGAACGTTCACATGCCCTTGCATGGCGTAGTAAACTGGGTTGCTTGAATAATGCCACTTCTGCTACGTGTATCAACGAAATTTCGAGAGGAAGTCTCAGCATCCGCAAACTTTGCGTGCTAAAATTACACACTCTGTTCTTAAATTATATGTCATTTTAGTATTGTCCCAAGTCAAACTTCTCTAATTCTGATCAAGTTTAAATGCATCACTATCTATAATATCAATTTTGTTTAATTAAATTCTCATGAAATATAAATTGGTGATGCGGATGGAATTTACTGATGATTGATGACTTGAATCAAAGAAAAAAAATCTTTTCAATGAGAAAACACAAGAACAACTTAACGCATTTTTTAATTGCATCAATTAAGCAGTAGAAAGTTTATGAATTGCAAGAAATATTGCTGCAAGTCAGATCGGATGCTCCATCATTTTGCATTGGATTAAGATTAATGGATACACGCTGGCTTTGCATTATGGTAGGGTAACCCTCTATCATTGACCTACCGCCCAACTTGACAGTATCCTCATCACATACGGACGGACTTCTGAGACCATTTGTGAATCATGGCGATTCTCTCTACAGTAACGTTCTACAAATTGCTAATCCCATCTCTATCCATATAGCACTGTTCACTACTGTTCCACATGATTTCATAGCACTGTTCCCCTTTGAGAGAATCTCATACTCCTAATACTACATAACAGTACAAAGGCTGGACAACAAAAAAAAAAGAGGATAAAATTCAGGCTTTATTAATTTCAAAATCAACCATCTATCTACCAGGGGAAACTATCCATAACCAAAAAAAAAGGAAGGCATTTTGTAGTGGCATAATTTAGCCCTGATCCAAAACACTAGCCAATGCAACTTGCCGCAGCACTCATATACAAAGAAAAACAAATAGATTTAAATTCAACACATCCATTCGATGCCACCAAGGAGAACATGCCCAACGAACTGGCCATGATGATGAGAGGTCACTGCTGCTGATTGAGCCATTGAAGGAAAAAAAAAAAAAAACAGTGCAAAGAGCTGGAAGAAAGCATCAGCACGCTCACCCGCTAATCATCAGGGGAATACTGTACATTACAAGAAAGGCAAGGAAGCTGTGACTGCCCAGCAACTACTTAGTCCATGCATGGATATATGTTCTGGGACCCAGAAACCTAATAAAAACGGTTGTTATATATGCCTTTTTTTTCTGGGAGAGGAAATGTGTTGGTTATGCTGTCATCAGAGTACACACTGGCAGTATTTGCTTGCCTGATTTTGTTTGCATAATTCTACACACACACAAGAGCGTGCAGCTATTCTTCTACTTTCCGTTTTGCCACTTGATTTTGCCATGCATATCTCCAGCTTTAGCATGGCGCCCACTGAAGGCTCTGTTCGGTAATGCTGTGCTACGCTGCTTTGTGATTTCTTCTGGAACAAAATGTTTACAATAGGAATCCATGAAATGAGCTATATGGATAATTTGACTTTCAGAAAATCAGCATGTGAAGGTAAAATTGCACCTGGAAGGAACATTCCGATACGCATAGCATTCAAACAGCTAGCTCTATTGACCAACTTGAAGCTACAATTCGGATGTCTGAATCCAACTAGTGCTAGTCCCTATCCAAAAGGTCAGTGACAGACTTACAGCAAGATGCTGAATTGCTGATATATGTGTGGTGGTGATGTGAACAGAGGAAACGGTTAGGGAGTAGCCATCTCCTGATGAAGCCTTAACAATTAATCTGCACCCATTAAAATTGTTCCTCGTGTTTTGGAAAAGGGGAAAAAAAAGGAATTGTACATGTGTGTGTGGGTTGATGCCAGCGACCTGATGAAAGATTTGGTAGTGACAACCACTCTCCATGAGAAGTATGGATCACCGGCAGATGACCGACATTCGAGAGCAATATATGTAATGAACTAGCTACAAGATGAAAGGACTTTTTTTTTTTTCTGAAGCATGGGCAACTAGGCTTTGTTAACATATACTATAATACAGTTACATTATACAAAGGACAGCTACGTATATGCTAGACAGGACAGAAATTTCAGTGCGATATGCATGATGTGCTCATCATATGGCTAGCTGTAGTGGTCCTGCTTGCATGCTGTGCGAGATATATGTTGTGGTTGCGTGCATTCCGGGCTCAAAACTTCCTGAGTTGTTATTGGATAGAGGCCCCCCTATAGCTCGTGCATTGTCCCCTAATCTCCAAGGAAAAAGTCTGCATATAATTGCATGTATACATACATGTCTGTTTGTTGGTGTAGTTTTGGGCATGTGATGAGCCATGCACTGAGATCCGGCCTTATGGTTGGCCTGCGTAGACTAGACCGGTAGTCTGCTGTGCTGTGCTGGTGATGAAGCACTTGTTGGTCATGGCGGTTGAGATCAACTGGGTTTGGACTTTAGACAGTCTCTGCCAGCAGCATTTCTTCTCATCTGTTTTCGCTGTCGAATTGCTTCGACAGATTGTAGCAACAATCTGCTAGGTAGGTGCGTGCAATGGAGATCAATCAAACGAACACTGATGGATCAGTAACGGTTGAGACATATCGACCATGTGGTGCACAAGAATTGAAGAACCAAGCGAAGAATCCGCAACAGTATCTAATAATATACAGTGCGAGATTTCATCGGCCAGCGCAGAGAAATGATTATTGGCTTGCACAATTTTTAGAAAAAGGAGGAAGTAGCTGATTAACAAGTAATAAGTCAGAAAGGAAAAGTTTAAGAGGAGACATTTTTTTATTTAATAAGCCAAAAAGAAAAGGAAAGGAAAGGAAAGGAAAGGTGAGAGAGGACAGCAATGCAAGCATTGGTAGTTTGGAGGGCTTTGTGTTAAGCTTTGCCACCAAACGAATTGACATGCCACCAGGAGTAATCCATCCACTGAATGCATGTGTCCAACCACTCTTTTCCTGACCCAACTAACCAACGCCTTCCTCATTGATAGTACTCCGTACAACTGTAGACGACTTCGCCATCCAGGTCAACGCAACAGTGCAAGTGCACATTGCATTTCATTCCATCTCTTTGAGTCCCGGCTGAACAATCTCTCTGGTCAGGCATCTAGTCTATTTCACCTAGAGTGAGAGTGAGGGCAGTGAGAGTAACAAAGTGACGCCACTGACCAATGCAAGTCCAAATGCATGCACTGTGCGTTTCTTGAACAGCAGTTCTGTGATTCTGTCCGTCAGTCACTGTATAAGCACTTTCGCTTTGAGTGCAGAAGCGGCTGCACAAAACCAAAGTCAAAACCACCGTTTGCCCTTTATTTTAGTTACCAAAAAAAAATTATGAGAGGAATGACGAATGGATTTAGGAGCGTTTGGTGGCTGCTGTGTCCTTTTGCGCTGCGGTTCGTACAATCGTACACGAACAGCTTAGCTAATTGCTGCCCCTAATTGCTGGTGGATCGGGATCGCCCGCTCTCCTTGGATGAACCAGAAACAATCGCTTCGCAACAAACAAGCTAAGAGGCCCTTTAATGGCGACAACTCTCTCGCCGAGCAAGCTATGGACCTGTACAGTCACCCGTGAATCATAGTACGCCCGTCCTGCATAATTTGGTATGCGATGTTACAAACCTCGGCCTTGTTCAGATCATCTCCAAATTCTAAGTTTTTTCACTCTTTCCATCGTATCAATTTTTGAACGCATGCATAGAGCATTAAATATAGGTAAAAAAATAACTAATTACACAGTTTGGTTGTAAATGACGAGATGGATCATTTGAGCCTAGTTAGCCTATGATCGGACAAAGTTTGTCAAATATAAACGAAACGTGCTGCAGTGTCCAGGTTACAAAAATTTGCAATCTAAACAAGGCCCTCCTCACGCTAATAATTTCTGTCAGATAATGCCAGCGGTGAAATCGACATCGTCGCAGAAATCTTGCGAAGTGCTTGGAGCAATTCTCCTTTTCTTTCTTTTATCTTTTTATTTTATAAAAAAACAATCCAATCACATATATAGTGCCTGATGACTGTGTCTGAAGTAACTTTCCATTCAAAGTGAAGCACACGAGAGACGGAAGTGAAAGCAACCCTCCTCACACCCATCCAATTCTGACCCGACCTTCCTGCTGAAGAATGGCCAGACAGAACTAACTGTCAGTCAGCTCTTCAGTGAATTCGGTACGGGACCTAATTTCACCCAACAGCGAGAGTGACAGTCTCACTCCCTCCACTCTGCTCTGCCCTGCTTCCCTTTCACCATTTCCTGCCCGATTCCGTCGCTGTCTGCAAGCAGCAAGCGTATATCCTCTCCTCTCTGCATTCTCTGTAGTGTATACATACATACACACATACACATACATGCAAATATGTATATATATTTATATTATATATCTATATCTATATCTATATGATCTGCGTTTGAGTGGGATATGATCCAAGCAACACCTTCGTCGCCGCACCAGCCTCCAGCCCCCCGTCGACACCTACAATGCTTGCAACATCTCATCGTCGTCTCTTCTGGCCTGCTCACTCGTACACCAATCCATATAATAGTGTTTGGTGCTAGTCTAGTAGATGTTACCGAGACGAGATGAATTTCAGGCAGATTTTTCTATTCATTTCTGCTCCATCCAATCGCTTGCTTCTTCTCCAGTTCTCCAGCTACCTGCCGTGCCACGCCACCTCGGACCTCACTCATCTGCTCTGCTCCTCCATGTAAGAGGCCCGCCCGGCCGCCTCTCGCCGGGCTCGTCCGTTCGTTACCGGGTCAGTGCCGCCGTCAGAGCAGTAGGTGGTCAGTCAATCACGAGACAATTCTCAGTGTGCCATTAAAAAATAATTACAATATCGTGTCTCTGAAAAAGTTCAGCGATCTTCAGAGTCATTACTCTAACTTTTTTGTGTCCTCCATGTCACTTCCGTCAGTTTGGGCTATAACGCCGTCAAACTACAGGTGTGAAAAGATAAAAATACCCTTAAGTCTAAATATGTTATTAATTTTTTTAAGTATCTTAACGACTTCAAATGAAAAAACTCAAAACTAGAAAGTCGTAGATCTCGTCGAGATCTATAATTTTCATATAAAAATTATTTTCATTTAATTCCGCAAAAAAAAAATTGATATGATTAATATATCTTAGAAAAATCATATTTTTTTTGCGGAAATAAATGAAAATAATTTTTATATGAAAATTATAGATCTCGACGAGATCTACAACTTTCTAGTTTTGAGTTTTTTCATTTGAAGTCGTTAAGATGCTCAAAAATATTAATAGGTATTTTCGTTTTTTCACACCTGCAATTTGATGGCGTTAAAGCCCAAACTGACGGAAGTGGCATAGAGGACGCGAAAAAGTTAAAGTAGTGGCGCTGAAGACCGATTACGATTTTTTTTTTATGGCACACAGGAATTCCCCCGTCAATCATCCGCTCGTCCATTCGATCGAGCTCTCCTGCTCTTGACCGGCCAACCATCCACCGGCGGGTGCACAGCCAGGCGATCCCGCTATAAAGGCGAGCGCGAGGGCGAGAGCACACACTGTTGCATTGCTGATTGCTCTGTCTCCTCCGCCTCGCTTGCTGAGTAAGAAGGAGAGAGGTTGCGGGTTGCGTTGCGCCATGAGGAGAGCAGGCGGCCTAGCGCGCGCCGGACATGGCGCGGCGACGGCGGCGGGGCGGGCGACGAGGGTGATGCGGGCCGCGGTGTCCGCGTTCTTCGCGGGCTACCACTGCTTCACCTCCGTGGCGGCGCTGCTGGCGCTGCCGTTCTCGGCGGCGGTGCTGGCGTCCGAGGCGATGATGGCGCCGTCGTCGGGGACCCTGCGCGCCGTGGCGGCGCGGCTCCGCGCCGTGTTCGCCGCCGCGGGGCTCCCGCCCTCCCCATTCTTCGCGCTGCTCGAGGCCAAGCTGTCGCAGACCGTCTTCACGTTCGCCGCCACGCTGCCGTTCGCGCTAACCTTCCTGCTGCTCGCCAAGGCCTGCGTCGCCGCCATGCTCCGGGACGACGACGACGGCGGGCGGCGGCGGCACCGCCGGATCGCCGCGCTCCCGCCTTGCGGGGCCGTGGCGCGCGCGTACCCGGCGGTGGTGGCCACGCACCTGCTCAACGCGTTCCTCATGCTCTCCGCCAACGCCGCGGTGTTCTCGCTGCTGCTGCTGGCGTTCGGCGCCGCCGACCTGCTGGGCCTCACCTCCCACGTCTGGACGCTCGCGCTGTCCGCGGCGGGCGCCATCGTCTACTCGCTGGCCGTCGGCGTCGCCAGCGTGGTCTGCAACCTCGCCGTCGTGGTGGCAGCCACGGAGCCCGGGTGCGCGGGCCACGCCGCGGTGCTCAGGGCCTGCGTGGCAATCAGGGGCCGGGTGTCCACGGCGCTGGCGCTGGCGCTGCCCACCAACCTCGGCATGGCGGCGGCCGAGGCGCTGTTCGGCTCCGCGTCGTCGCGCAGCGACGGAGGGACAACAGGCTCGCGCCGGGCGTCGCCGGCGAGGCCTTCTCGATCGCCTACATCCACGCCATCTGCGTCGTGCTGGAGATCATCGTCAGCTGCATGTTCTACAGGAGCTGCAAGAGGAGTGAAGCCGACGAGCTCAGAGAACTCGAGCCAGAGGAGAAGGGAGACCTCCAGGCTTGATCACCTCTCAGCTTCAGCTTCAGTCTGGTGCATGCACAAGGGGGAAGAAACCCACACAAATAGTAGTCATAGTTTGTGTTTCGATGAGAAGCAACAGGATCAGATCACAGGGTACAGAACTGATCCAGAAATATAGTGGTAAACCGAGATAGATTTCTGCAAAATGTTTCTTTTTTATGCAAAGCAAATGGTACACATTGAGTTCAAATAAACGGTTATCTTGTACAGAAGGAATACTCTCTTCAACTGATGAAATAAGAAAGCAGGGAATTGGAGATTGTTTGGGGTTGTTACTTTTAGAAAGAAAAAAAAATAGGAGAATTATAGACTTCGCAAATTTCATATATTCTGTTCTTTGGGTGACATTGGTAGCTTCAGAAACTTGTGGGCAATGTGAGTGCCACCAGCATTTCAAAGAAGCAATTTCAGTCCAGAGCATCTAAACCCAAGCAGCTCCTCAGATCTATTTATTCCATTTCTGATTTTGAACAAAAAAGCATGCTATCAGGTTGAGATGGCACTCATGTGTGAAGTTACATAATTATTGTTATTGGACAAAACGATAACTTTGACATGTAGAACCAAGAAACATGACTTTAGATAATTCTAGTTCAAATTGTAAGGTTCATAAGATGACAAGAGTATAACAGTGCAAGATCATAAGCTCATAATACAACAAGCCAACCACCAATCTACCATGGCATCCAAGGTTCTATCAGTTCAGCAATCTATCTGAACCTTTCTCATGCTCCAATTGTCGCTTAGGTGGGATGGAAGGCGTATGGGCGGTTTTTCAGACTTCAGTTTGTTTATTGACACTAGCTTTGGTGGTACGGATATGTCGCCTGTGGGTCTCTCTGATTAAGTGGTACTCAATGCTAAAGCCTTTAGCAAGTTTTTGTTGTGGTTCTTTTCTAGATGGAGCTTTTTTTCTAGCCTTGTTTAGTGGTTTCCCTCCTTAGCTGAGTTTAGATGGTTGGATGCGAGCTAGTCGTGCTTAGTGTGGCTGTTTTTTTTTTTTGAGCTAGTTGCCGTAGTTATTGTCAGATGCTACACCCCTCTAGTTGTAAGTTTTCCAGACCCGGTTTTGCCTTAAAAAATGAGCCATAACTCTATTTTCTTTTCTCTTCTAATAAAATTACCGACAAAACTTTTGTCGTCCTTTCAAAAAAAATCTACCATGGACACAATGCTACTATGGTGTGGCATGTGTTGACTGTGTTACATATTGTACTTGCTAAAACGAGATGTCCTGTGCTGGTAAAAATGGAATATCCCGGCCAAAACGGGAAAAACGAAAACGGTCGAAAAAACAGCCATGTTGTTTTTCGTCCTGTTTTCACATTTATAAAAAATGGAAAAATAAAAAACGATCAGGATGACCGTCAATATGACTTCAAGTGGGTCAAATGTAAAAATTGGGATGGAACAGAGCAGGATTTTTATCCGATCGATCATTTTCATCCATAGTTGGTTGTTGCAGCACTAGGCTTAGATTCATATCTTAAGATCGTGACATCAACATGTAACATAGTAAAATGCACCATGCACATTTGATGGTAGAACTACAGCCTAATGACAAGGCATCCTAACTAAACTATTAATCTATTGAGCAATGCACATGAGTGAACGAACTTTATAGGTGTACATAGGAGTTGATTTACCATGCTTGAACCCCATAGTTCAAGGTTGTGGCATTAGCCAACAATCAAGCTAGGGAGAGACGCAGCTCACAGGCCACAATGGTGAATGTCTAATGATAAGGACAACTTCTTGTGAGCTAAAAATAACCAATTATGGCCATGTTCGCTTCTCTTATAATCCGTACTTTTCAGCTTGTTTTTTCAGCTGAAACAGTGTTTTTCTCTCACAACAAATCAGCTGGAATAGTGTTTCGGCTTATTTTTTCAGCGCAGCGAACGGGGCCTATTCATATTCGAGGATATTTGTATCTATATTTATATTTTGTTAATTTTAAAATGTGGATAAAAATGCCGAAAGTGAGGATAATGTTTAGATTTATTGCAACCACAAGAAGTTTGACTGCCGTCCACCACCCTCACTAGCTAGTCGCCCAAAATTGATGTCCTTACAAGGGTGAGCCTAGGAATATTATGGCACAACTTAAACTCTATCCTATAACACAAGTCCAATTATAACCAATTCGTACATATATTCAACATAAAACGAATACATGATAAACACTCGTCATTAGTTGATCAGGAAATACCTGTTGTAAGTGAAGGATGATTATCTATCGATAAGCCCTTTGTTTTAGAAAAAGAAAACTTTTCAAGAGTAATATCAGTTGTCAAGTAACAGAACTCAGTAATCTCCAAGACCTGAAATTAGCAGCAGGTCTTCCAAAATCTTTAGACCTTGAGGACAAAGAAGCATGCCAATGCAGAGAAGGCACGTGGGCCAGCGAAGCTAACTGAGGTTAACTGAATATATGGGCCTAACATGCATGCTCCCTCGGCCCAACTTCGGTCCATCAATAAATCTAGAGAAAATATATAACCCGGATGCAAGTTTGAAGAGTATAAAGACTAAAGAGAAAAAAAGGAAACGATGAGTTGGATATACCTTCATGTGCTCGTATCTCAAGATGTCTTCTGAGTGTATGATTATGTGGGAAGGATAATAGTAGGTTATCGTGTTTTGGAGGGGTGAAAAGTAAAATGAGTTGAATTGGCCGGATAGAAAAGGGAGGACTAGCTCATTACCTTTGGGCCTTTTTTTTTACAAATTCCTTTGGGCTTAAATTGGAAGGACACGTAGGCCCTCTCAAAAATTTTAAAATTATAGATCGCGAGGACGGCAGCGATGTGATTTTGTATCTCTATTGGAGATTTGGAATGTACATATTATAATACTCCTAGAAAAGAAAAAGAAATACACTGTTCTTGGTTGCGCCATTTCAGACTTTTTCTGACCATGTTTCTGAGATGCACAACGCAGGTGGTACAATATACAAATGAACAAGAGGGGACAACTATATATTACTGCTAACGCATCGATATGGGGACAAATAAAACAATTACACACCAGAAGCAACATCATGACAGAGTTGCTAAAAAAAACTCGATCCGCGGGGGGACGACGTCCCACCGGGTATTTCACTAAGAAGAAGATCTCCTCACGCAGATCGAGAAAATTCCCGAACCCCGGCCCCACCCATATACAGCGGCACCGCATCCCCGTGAGACGGGACGGCCACAGACCTGTACTTTGGCGTGGGACAGACGAGGGAATTTTTTTATCCTCAGGCCTAAAATTCGCCCCCGAGGGGGATCGAACTTAGGACCTGAAGGGTGCCTCAGGAAGCTCCGACCAACTGGTCTAGAAGCCCTTTGGCATGACAGAGTTGCTAAGAAAAGGCAAATCCACAAAACAGCAACCTACCCCCCCCCCGCGCCCCCGCCCCCACCCCACCCCACCCCCTTTTTTTTAGAATCAACAGCAACCTTACCCTTTTTTTAGTGGAAACAACAACCTTACCTACATATCACAAGTTCCCACTAGGTTATTGTTTGTTTGGACGGCCCCATCCAATATCTGCGGCCCATTGGACGTTAGTTGGGCTGCATCTTTGAACCAAATAAGAAGACTCTTGAGGGGATGATCGGAAGAGACCGTGTATACTCCAGGTTTTAGCCACCCGACGTCGCCACTTGCTCGAAACTTTCTCAAATTTTTACCACAGCCTCCTCATGCGATGACAAGACACGTCGTCAAGTTTCGTCATTTTCGGACTCCGTTTCGATTTTATAAAATTTAAAAACACTTTTCACGCGCGTGGCTCGGCGTGTTCCGACACCAACACGGTCGAAATTTCACGCGAGGCCCCGCACACGGCCTCAACATACTCCAAACATCATGAATATCATTTTCTGAATCGCCGGATTCCATTATTTCATGTACCTGCAGTTCAAATCTGGAGCTGCCGGAAAAAATCAAAGAAACAGAAAAAATCAATGGAATATAGCAAAATAAATCAAAATGACCCCAAACTTGGAATATATCATGTACTTACTGTAGCAAGGCAACACAAAAAAACTGGGATCGAAAATCGAAAAAAAAATTAATTCTTTGCCGACTGCCAGGGAGGATGGCAGTCGGCAAAGAATTTCTGAGAAAAAAATCAAAAATAACCTTTGCCGACTGCCAGGGAGCAGAGCAGTCGGCAAAGTATTTTTAAAAAATAAAAAAAATAATTTTTTGAAAAAAAAATAATAGACCTTTGCTTGATCGCGTCATGTCGGCAATCGGCAAAGGGAAAAAAAAAAAACGTCGCCTTATCCGCTCGGACCGCCCTCCCTCCCCAAAATCCCGCCTTGCCGCCCAGTAGCCCGCCCGTGTCATTGCCGTCGCCCGGTCAGACGCCCATCCCCGCCCCTCCCCCACCCCCCTCCCCCTCCCTCCCTCCCCACGGCCAGATCCCTCCTCCTCCTCCCCCCTGCCTCCTGCCTCCCCACTGGTCCCTCCCGTGGCCCCCCCCCACCCCATGTGTTGGTCCTGGCCCATGGTCCCTCCCCGTCACAGGGCGGCCTCTCTCCCATGCCCATGCTTCCCCCCCCCCCATGGTGGCCTTCCCTCCCCGGGCCCTCCCTGCCATGTCCCCTCGCCCAGCCCCCTGTCCCTCCCACCCTTCGTCCCCCCTCCCATTGGCCCCCAGGCCCCTCCGCCGCCCCAGCCCCAGAGCCCACCTCCGTGCCACCCTCGATCCGGCCACGGCCAGGCCAGCGCCGCCAGCGTCTGGCTCGGCGTCGGCCCAAGCCCGTGTGGCCTTGCCGACTCCCCGGCATTGCTGCTGCCCCGGCCGTCGTGCCAGCTCAGTCCGCCGTCCATCCGTCCGCCGTCCATCCCCGCTGTCACATCTCCCGTTCGCCGTCTCATTGCTGTCTGCTCGCTGCGTCGCATCGCTGCTCTCTCACTGCTACCTCGCCGTCTCGCCTCGCCTCGCCTGCCGCTCGCCAAGGCTGCCCTTGCGCTGTCCCGCCTCGCCGCCTCGTCCTCGCGCGCGCCTCTGCTCCACGCGCCGGTGACGCCGTCCGTGACGACGAGGTAGTAGTACTACTAGTAGTAGTAGTTTACTTTGTTAATACCTGCTTATATTCTTCTGCATGGATTGGA